GAAAAATATATGACAGGGATAGAGACAGTCGAACGGGTGAAAGAAAATAATGAGAAGAAAAGTCCTTCGAAAAAACGACGAGTCAGACCAATTCCTATTACATCCAAGATACCGCTTTATGACAAATTAATGGCTGAAAAAGAGGAAAGGTCGGCCATGTAGCACTTTTGACTTCATAAATGGATGTATAATATTATCTACTTTTTTTTATTTTCAATCAAATTTAATATTGTATTTCTTCAATTCTGAAAGTTTTACTATACTTTTATATATTATTTTATTTTTTTAACCAGAGATCTGCGAAATTGTAATTAATATTAAACCTCGATATAACGTGCGTTTTTGGTGTTCAGAAGTCGTATTGTACGCGAGGAGAGCGCACTAAATCTATTGTCGCAAGTGCGACCTTTTAAGCTGGAGTGCGACCGTCGTGCCTGGCGATCCATGGCGAGGTCCAGTCCTGAACTCTGCTCGAGCAAGAGCGGTTCTTCACGTTTCAAGGCTAAGCCAGTACCAAGAAACCTGTTTGGCACCGAGGTTTACGACCGTATGCTTGAGGACGAATATTATAGGTCAGCTTATCATTAATTGTCGAGTTCTTTCCATATTTTATCTTAGAAAAATTTAAGTGGACCATTTTATGTACGCGTTTAATATCTATATTTATATATCTATGCTCTTGCTTTTTTTTTCTTTCTTAGTGTCGATACAAAACGATAAAGTCGCATTACGAATATTGAATGTTCGGAAAATTCCACTATTTCTCTTGATTGAAACACATCGACAGTCTTTGAAAATTGCAAACAGACAAAAAAATTTTTAGAAATTAAATCTTAATTTAATTTTAAAGCTTATTCTGTGTATAAGTGAAAGTTTCTATATAAGCGACTAATTGCTTTGCAATTCAAAGAAGTGAGTTTAATTATTAGAACTCGGCTTCCTGAAAGTACACTTACACAACAAGACTATTTAAAGAGCAAAAACTTTTTAAAATTTCTTGAGAATTAAAAACAATTAGATTCAGCATAGAGATTTATTTACGCGGTTCCAGACAGCTAAGGAAAAGGTTGAGGGCTGCGGAGATGTTGAAGTCTTCTTCGTTACCGCCGTCGATGGCGAGACGTGAACGTGTCAAGTCCGCATGTGCACATTTTCAGGACGTGGAGCCCAACAAGGATGACGATGAATCTGTCATTCCAACTACGACGATGTCCGACAGAACCAGGTCCGCGCTGACGTCCGCATTGTCCTCGCGCGGGAATAACTTGGCTGCGATTTTGAGATGTCAAGCTTCACGGTACGGTCTATTTAATGAGAAAGACTGTGTAATTCGGAATCCCTCTATTTACTTATATTTCTGAAAAGTTGATTTTAAAATACTAGAAATTCAGTTGAAGAAAGAAATAAGTTACGAGTCATAAAAAGTCGCTCTGGTATAGGATTTAATTTTTTCTAAATACAAACAAAGGATAATTTTTAATTAGAGAGGAATTCACACGTGTAAATGACGATCGAAAACTCATCACAGAGAGAAACTGGAGCGCGAGATACAGGAGCGGATGGAGGAGAAGCGGCGGGAACAGATACTGAAGTTCAGGGAGACGCTGATCGGCCGGAAACCCGCGTGGAAGGCCCTGAGATCAGCTACGAGGTACGCACTGGATCTATAGATCTAAGCGTTCATCGATTTTTATGATCAGTTATTGATCTAATGTCGCGAAAACAAGGCACGAGCATGACAGAGACCTAGACATACGGACGTCTCTTCGTCGTGACGAGGCGCGGGAACAGGCCGAACGTCATCGACTGCAGATGGAGATGATGCTGGACCGTGTGACGCAAATACCGACTCTTTTC